AGGATCAGTGTCAAAAGGTATGTTATTTATTTTCAGAGCAAGAAGGGAAGACAGATGATATTCAAGAACTACGGAACAAAATCATGGAGGTGTTGGGACAGGAGCCATATATGGGGGAGAAGATACCAGTCAGGTAAATAATTATTACATATAGATACAAGCAAAGGTTTTGTAAAGCATGAACAAGTAAAAATTAGCCATATGAAAGAACAATGTTTTGGTGACATGGTGACACCATTCTCAAGTTCAAATGCAAAAAGATAAACTGTCAGAAAATTTGCTCAAGCTTAACATACTTTGTAATTACATATGCAATGTCACGCAAATAGTTCTGCTTGAATTGAGTCCCACTGGACATTGAGAGATGGTGTTAATTCTCCAATTAGCAGCATTTCATGCACTAAACAATCGAACTTACTCATGCACTTCCTGAGAACGAAAAAATGTCTGTACAGGTCTTTCAGAACAATACAGTGTTCGTTAATGAAGTGTTTGCCAACGGAAGAAGACTGCTTGGTGTGTTGCACCAATGCGTGGCTGAGCACACTAAACAGTCTTCTTCCATTTAATATAAAACTAGGTTTTCTTGAATAACATATAAAGAATAAGTGAGAGATCAATGCAGTCATCTAGTAGATAAAGTCATCTAGTTAATCATAAATGATTAATAAAACAAATTTAAATGCAGTTTTGAACGATTTGTATTCATTTGAAAATCTTTATGCAAAATATTTATGGTAATCATTTATGCTAATTAATGTCCATTCAAATTAATCAACTAATTAATGTCCAACCAAAATGAAGATTTGAAAGGACACATGCCCTGTGAAAGAAGAAAAATTATTTCCAGCACTGGTGTTCCTTGAATGCTTGAAAACAAACTATCAATTGACATTGCATGCATTCAATTTTGTTCCTTGGGCATATTTACTGTACACTTCTACAAACTATTCAGTTCAAACAGGAGCTTGATGTTAGCAACAAATAGTAGAAATAATGGCTTGTCGTGTAATTAATGTGATTCATTTTCTCTGATCACTTTTAGATGGTTTCTGTTTGAAAAGTTGATTGAAGCCTTGATTGCCAAACAGATTTTTCACATAAATCTGGTGCAACTCCAAAGCTATGCCAAAAAGCATTGCTTCATAGAAGATGCAGATGAGTTTGCAGGCATGATCAGTTTTTACCATGGCCTTGGTATGATTATCAAGCATCAAAATACAGTTGTTCTGAAGGCTCAGTGGCTGATTGATCTATTGAAGCAGCTGATAACCATTCCACACTTTGATAAAATGGTAGGAAAAATAATTTCAATATTAGAAATTTCAGTATTTAACCTGTACTTGATCTTTTCCTCAAGTTGCTGTTGTCACTTTTTTAATATTTGTATAGCTGAAAAATGTTAATTTACAGTATGTACGCTTTGGTATATACACAAACATGTATTTGTTCATCTTTCTATTAATTTGGCCAACCCTTTAGAAAATGATATCATTCTACATGATGCAGTACCTCTTAGATACTTGTAAATTAATTGATTAACCACCAAGTTAGGAAAACCAAATATCAAATATGAATATTTTCAAATTGTATAGGGGTGAACAGGTTCAAATTTTTGGGCTAACTAGCGATGGTTTGATGCAAA